ATTCCCCTAGAGTTTGGCTTTTCATGTCATTTGTTTTTTCATGTAGTTAATTCTGTGCTTTTACAAAGCTACTTGTTAGAGACTTATGTGGTAATTGATGGTTCCATCCCCAAGTTTTCCCGTAATGAGTGTCCTGGCGTGCTGTTCAAGTGGTTTAGGAACTATCCGCAGGATTTTTATTAAATTCAAGGGTCGACACTATACATGTAGGAGCGATACAATGTCAGGGAAGGGGGAGATGGGTAATCAAAGTCGATCCGGGTAGGATCGACTTCTAGGGAATTCTGTTGTCATTGGTAATGTTGTTTCTCCACAATAAACTGCCTTTATCAACTACAAGACATATATGAATACCCAACACTGATACGCCAGTATTTGCTTAATAACAAATTCAGCCCAGCTACACCAGTGGTTGCTTAATCTGGAATATCCAGCCAGAAAAAAGGGGGAAGCCAACCAGGGCAAGACTTCAACCAATCAGTTCAAGACTGCGACCAGCCAGGGCAATACTGCAACCAGCAAGAGCAAGACTGCAGCCAACCAGGGCAAGACTGCAGCCGGCCAGAGCAAGACTGCAGCCAACCAGGGCAATAGAAAAGTCAACCAGTCAAAGGAAATGGAGGTTAAGGCAGCCATCTAGTCAAAAGGGGTATGGCAGCCAATTAATCAGGATGATTAGGGCAGCTAGCCATGGGGTATAGCAGGCAGCCGGCCAGCTAACAAGGGTAATTGAGGTTCAGAAAAAACAAACATCATAAGGAAGGGGGAAAGAGAGAGTAAGGGGCAGCCAGATAATGAGGAGGGGAGGAAAGGAAGAGAGAAGGGGAGCCAGGTAATAAGGGGAGGAGTGGAAACGAGGGAGAAGCAGCCAGGTAATAAGAAGAGGAGGGGAAGAGAGGGAGGGGCAGCCAGTCAGTGTGCCAAATAATGTGGTCAGAGAGAAAGTTAACCGCAAATTACTGCCAACACACTTTTTAGGCTTCGTCCAATATGCAAGTACAAACCTTAGTGTGGGAAAACCTCGTAGCTCGTCACCCTAGAAGAGCACATCACTCATGTGTCACTCTGAGGAGCACATCACAAGTTTCACTCTGAGGAGCACATCACCCTCACGTGCCACTCTGAGGAGCACATCACCCTCACGTGACACTCTGAGGAGCACATCACCCTCATGTGTCACTCTGAGGAGCACATCACTCACGTGTCACCCTGAGGAGCACATCACTCTGAAGTGTCACTCTGAAGAGCACATTACTCTGAAGTGTTGCTCTGAGGAGCACATCACTCAAGTGTCACTCTGAGGAACACATCACTCTCAAGTGTCACTCTGAGGAACACATCACTCTCAAGTGTCTCTCTGAGGAGCACATCACCCTCACGTGTCTCTCTGAGGAGCACATCACTCTCAAGTGTCACTCTGAGGAGCACATCACTCTCAAGTGTCTCTCTGAGGAGCACAACACTCTCAAGTGTCTCTCTGAGGAACACATCACTCTCAAGTGACACTGTAGGAACACATCACTCAAGTGACACTGGTAATGCAAATCATCCTCACATGACACAGTGCTGTAGCGCACACACACACACACACACACACCACACACACACACACACACACACACACACACACACACACACACACACACACACACACACACACACACACACTACAAGTAAAGATTTAGCCGATATGGAACTAATGACCTCAGGCAATAGGAAAAAAGAGGGAGCCGTGATCACGACGTACAAAATGCTCAGATAATAGACAAGACAGACAAAGATGCACTCTTTTTAAGAGGGGTTAACAGACTGGGGTAACACAGTTGGAAGTTGTCGTTAGTATTACAGAAACGCCGAGTCGTGGAGGTCGTTCAGAGCAAGAAGCGGTGGAGGCTTGATCCTCTTTCTACAAACAACGAGACAGCCCCTCCTCCCCCTCTCTTACCTGGATATACTCAAATAATTGGAAGTAAAATACTCAAATGACTCGCAGTGAAGGAAGACTGTTCCTTACAGTATCAGAACAGAAGAACAATGGAGTACAACGCAAGAGGCTTGATACTCCGACATCCCAGACGCGAGCATAGTGTTATGACCTGGCTGTGTCATAGTGTTATGACCTGGCGGTGTCATAGCGTTATGACCTGGCTGTGTCATAGTGTTATGACCTGGCTGTGTCATAGTGTTATGACCTGGCTGTGTCATAGTGTTATGACCTGGCTGTGTCATAGTGTTATGACCTGGCTGTGTCATAGTGTTATGACCTGGCTGTGTCATAGTGTTATGACCTGGCTGTGTCATAGTGTTATGACCTGGCTGTGTCATAGTGTTATGACCTGGCTGTGTCATAGTGTTATGACCTGGCTGTGTCATAGTGTTATGACCTGACTGTGTCATAGTGTTATGACCTGGCTGTGTCATAGTGTTATGACCTGGATGTGTCATAGTGTTATGACCTGGCTGTGTCATAGTGTTATGACCTGGATGTGTCATAGTGTTATGACCTGGCTGTGTCATAGTGTTATGACCTGGCTGTGTCATAGTGTTATGACCTGGCTGTGTCATAGTGTTATGACCTGGCTGTGTCATAGTGTTATGACCTGGCTGTGTCATAGTGTTATGACCTGGCTGTGTCATAGTGTTATGACCTGGCTGTGTCATAGTGTTATGACCTGGATGTGTCATAGTGTTATGACCTGGCTGTGTCATAGTGTTATGACCTGGCTGTGTCATGGTGTTATGATCTGGCTGTGTCATAGTGTTATGACCTGGCTGTGTCATAGTGTTATGACCTGGCTGTGTCATAGTGTTATGACCTGGCTGTGTCATAGTGTCATGACCTGGCTGTGTCATAGTGTTATGACCTGGCTGTGTCATAGTGTTATGACCTGGCTGTGTCATCTCCATACAAAGCAGGTGAAATCGCAGATCTAGAGAGTGTACAGAGATCCTTTACTGCACGTATAAGTTCTGTCAAGCACCTTAACTACTGGGAACGCTTGGAAGCACTTGACTTGTACTCGTTGGAACGCAGGAGGGAGAGATATATCATAATCTACACTTGGAAAATCTTGGAAGGAATGGTCCCAAATCTGCACACAGAAATCACTCCCTACGAAAGTAAAAGACTGGGCAGGCGATGCAAAATGCCGCCAATAAAAAGTAGGGGCGCCATTGGTACACTAAGAGAAAACACCATAAGTGTCCGGGGCCCAAAACTGTTCAACAGCCTCCCATCAAGCATTAGGGGAATTGCCAATAAACCCCTGGCTGCCTTCAAGAGAGAGCTGGACAGATACCTAAAGGCAGTGCCGGATCAGCCGGGCTGTGGCTCGTACGTCGGACTGCGTGCGGCCAGCAGTAACAGCCTAGTTGATCAGGCCCTGATCCATCGGGAGGCCTGGTCATGGACCGGACCGCGGGGGCGTTGATCCCCGGAATAACCTCCAGGTAACCTCCAGGTAGTGTCATGACCTGGCTGTGTCAGTGTTATGACCTGGCTGTGTCATAGTGTTATGACCTGGCTGTATCAGTGTCATGACCTGGCTGTGTCAGTGTCATGACCTGGCTGTGTCATAGTGTTATGACCTGGCTGTGTCATAGTGTTATGACCTGGCTGTGTCATAGTGTTATGACCTGGCTGTGTCATAGTGTTATGACCTGGCTGTGTCATGGTGTTATGACCTGGCTGTGTCATAGTGTTACGACCTGGCTGTGTCATAGTGTTATGACCTGGCTGTGTCATAGTGTTATGACCTGGCTGTGTCATAGTGTTATGACCTGGCTGTGTCATAGTGTTATGACCTGGCTGTGTCATAGTGTTATGACCTGGCTGTGTCATAGTGTTATGACCTGGCTGTGTCATAGTGTTATGACCTGGCTGTGTCATAGTGTTTATGACCTGGCTGTGTCATAGTGTTATGACCTGGCTGTGTCATAGTGTTATGACCTGGCTGTGTCATAGTGTTATGACCTGGCTGTGTCCATAGTGTTATGACCTGGCTGTGTCATAGTGTTATGACCTGGCTGTGTCATAGTGTTATGACCTGGCTGTGTCATAGTGTTATGACCTGGCTGTGTCATAGTGTTATGACCTGGCTGTGTCATAGTGTTATGACCTGGCTGTGTCATAGTGTTATGACCTGGCTGTGTCATAGTGTTATGACCTGGCTGTGTCATAGTGTTATGACCTGGCTGTGTCATAGTGTTATGACCTGGCTGTGTCATAGTGTTATGACCTGGCTGTGTCATAGTGTTATGACCTGGCTGTGTCATAGTGTTACGACCTGGCTGTGTCATAGTGTTATGGCCTGACTGTGTCATAGTGTTACGACCTGGCTGTGTCATAGTGTTATGACCTGACTGTGTCATAGTGTTTATGACCTGGCTGTGTCATAGTGTTACGACCTGGCTGTGTCATAGTGTTATGGCCTGACTGTGTCATAGTGTTACGACCTGGCTGTGTCATAGTGTTATGACCTGACTGTGTCATAGTGTTATGACCTGGCTGTGTCATAGTGTTACGACCTGGCTGTGTCAGTGTCATGACAAATTAATAAAAACTGAAGCCAAGGTGTGATAGGTAGTTCTAAATGCTCCACACTTAGAACCATTGAAATAAAAATGATTGCAGGGAGGAAGGAAGGTAAAGTGGTTTTGAGTTGTAGCGGCTTGAGCATCCAGCAGGCTTAAGTGAGCATGCTTGCTCACGTCAGCCAGTGCAGTATCAAGAGGCGAGTATGTAAACACTGCATGAGGTGAATATTTAGTCCGGTATATACACCTTACTACTGAGTCCTGATACTACGTTGATATGCTTTTGATACTGAGAAATTGAGAAGGCTGTGAGATTGATGAATTAGACACAAGTGCAGCAACTGGGAATCGTTTCGCTTTATCAGCCAATGGCTGGCGAAAGGTCTACAAAATGAAGATTCGAAGATGTTCCACATGTGTCTTATTTCACCTAAGTAGTTACTAGAGAAGTGTGAGTCACTCACCATGTAAGGGAAGTGGTTGACGAGGAAGCAGAGTGCTGCTACAGCCAGGGTTGTACCCCAGCGAAAGTCTGACGCGGGCGTGCGGGCCGCCCCGCTACTTCTGTTCACGCCCACGCCCTTGTGCGTCCTACAGGGTAGCGCGGGCGGCGGCCGGTGGGGTGGCGGAGGTGGCACCAAATCCGAGGTGGAGGAGGCGGCGTGCATGGCGCCGGGGACGCCACCCATGCGGGCAGACGATGCATTAGAGGAGGTGGTTGAGGCCGAGGAGGCGGCTGCGTGGAGGGCAGTGCCCTGGCGGCCTCCACCGCCGCTGGAAGAGCTGGTGGAGGAGGTGGTGGTGGCTGTGATGGGCGCCATGTCTGAGGGCGCCGGGGTAGGGTCGCTACACCCTCGCCCCGCCTGCACCACGCCCACGCTCACTCCCCCAGCCACCACCAGCAGCCCGTACACACTCAACACGAAGAGGGAGAGGCGCACGTGTAGGGCGTGCGGCAGGAAACTGCAGTGTTCGAACGCGTCAGGCGCATCGGCCGGACGAGCCAAGATGGCGGCCACACCCACCAAGGCAGCGATGGTTGCGAGCACCGCCAGGTGGTAGCGGATCTGGTGACGCCGCACGCTGAACCGGTACTTGTAGGGCCATTGGCTGGTGAGGGCTCGGTCCACCAGCAGCGAGGCCACAGTGGCCGCCTGTAGGGTCCTCGTAGCGCTCAGACTCCAGACGAAAGCGCCGCACGCGGCCGAAGACTCAGGTCTCATGAGGCTGAGGAGAGCGTAAGCGAACACCTGCAGCGCCACCAGCAGCTCCTGCACGAACACCGCCAGCAGGAAGAGATCGACGGAGCGCCACTGGCGGCGGTAAGAGTGGAAGACCCCCAGCACCCAGGCGCACATCAGGAAGATGAGGGGCGCGGCCGCCGACAGTCCGATCCAGCTGTATGTGAGAGTCCGCATGGTTGAGGGTCAAGTTGGGTCAGCGGGGGTCACCTGCCGCCCCGCCCCGCTGCTCGCCGCGCCCGACACCCTTCACTGACACCACCATGGTAGTGGGTGGTCCATGGAGAGGCAGGGCTGGTCCACTGGGACACGGTCCACGTCGTCTTCTCATAACCACCTCCACTACACGCTCCACTCTGAAACAAACAAGTTACTCATTAACTTTACGTCCTCAACAGATCCTGGGTGGAGGCTAGTGGTAACAGCATCACTAACAGCTTGACTGATCAGAGATTAGAGCACGGAGAATCGAGTCACCACCAATCCGTGCGCTTAGCGACCCATTCGGGTCATGAAGTACAATATCGCCAATGGGATAAGAAAAGTGATCTGTAGGTTAATAGTAGAGAGCTCAGTTTATAATCAAAGAGACACAAGTTCGATTCTCGGGTGAGGCGATAAGTATGGGTTAATCTTCTTACACCTGCTGCCCTCACTCACCTAGCAGTAAATAGGTACCTGGGTGTTAGTAAACTGCTGTGGGTCGCATCCTGGGTAGGGAAAGTATTATATTTTAAGGCTGAGCCTTAATTAAAATTGAGCTGAGGTAAGTAAATGTTGATGAAGTTAAGACACATGTGCAACATCTGGGTATCTTTATTGTAGACGTTTCGCCATCCAGTGGCTTTATCAATACAAATTCCAGGACATAACTTGAAGACAGTAGAACTATGTACAGAAGATGAGGTAATCAGTCCCTCAACCTAGCAGTAGGTCCTAAGAGCACCTCGCTTCCTCAAGACGAAGCACGGAAGGGGAACCGACCGAAGGTGAAGCTGTGAAGGGAGGCTAGCTACAAGTTTTCACGAGCTTTAGAGAAGTGGTCGTAATGTGGTTGACTGCATATTCTGTGGCATCAGTAATGCCACTTCTTGTCATCTGTGTCTCTTTCTTGCTGGCGCTCACTGACATTTCACTTTTTTTTCTTTCTACCCCTGTGCCTTCCTCCCCCCCCCCTCCTCACCCGGATAATAACACGTATTGAGGTCAATTAAAAAATGAGACAAGACTTGGAATGAATGGCCCAACACTCCTCGGTATTTTGCTTGGTATTTTACTCGGCCTTTCACTTGCTTTTTCTAAAAACTTGAACATTTCTTCACCAGCTGCTTGTCTCAGGTGGTTGCAACCAGCTGGACGCTACAGTAGTTTGTTGACCATTAGTGTAATTCACATTAGTGTGCTTTCACGTTGTGAAAGAAGTCAGATAGTATTGTAAACATACGCTATCTTACGCTTTCCCTTTCACACATACAAGACAGGAGTAAGACAGGAGAGAGACAGATGGGTAGACTGCATCTTTTTTGGACGGCAAGAAGGCTTTTGACACAATATCACACAAGAGACTGGTACAAAAATTCGAAGAGCAGGCAGGAATAGTAGGGAAAGTACTGCAATGGATCAAGGAATACCTAACAGGAAGGAAAAAAAGAGCGTTGGATACGTGATGAAGTGTCAAAGTGAGCATGACATGTGTCGAGTGGGGTTCCACAAGGGTCAGTCCTAAATCCGGTGCTGTTTCTTGTATACGTTAATGACATGATGGAAGGAATAGGTTCAGAAGCGTAGCTGTTCGCTGATGATGTGAAACTGATGAGGAGAATACAAGAAGGCAAGGATCAGCTAAGATTACAAGGCGATCTGGACAGACTACAAGTCTGGTCCGACAAATGGCTCCTGAAGTTTAAATCCAGTAAGTGCGAAGTCATGAAGATTGGGGAAGAACAAAGAAGACCGCAGACGGAGTACAGGTTAGGGGCTCAAAAGCTGCAAACGTCACTTAAAGAAAAGGATCTTGGGGTAAGCATTATAACGAACATGTCCCCTGAGGCACACATCAAATAAGTGCTGCAGCATATGGACGGTTGGCAAACCTGAGAATAGCATTTCGACATCTGAGTAAGGAATTATTCACGACATTGTACACCGTGTACGTCAGGCCCATACTGGAGTATGCAGCACCAGTATGGAACCCACACTTAATCAAGCACGTCAAGAAATTGAAGAAAGTGCAAAAGTTTGCAACAAGATTAGTCCCGGAACTGAAGGGTATGTCTTACGAGGAGAGATTAAGAGAAGTCAACGTGATGACACTAGAAGATAGGAGGGATAGAAGGGGCATGATAGCAACGTATAAAATACTGAGAGGAATTGAAAAGGTGGACAGGGCTCTAATGTTTCTGAGATGGGATACAGGAACAAGGGGCCGCAATGGGAAGCTCAAAGCCCAGATGAGTCATAGGGATGTTAGGAAGTATTTCTTTAGCCTTAGAGTTGTCAGGAAGTGGAATAATCTGGAGAGTGAAGTAGAGGTAAATTCCATACATAGCTTTAAGAAGAGGTATGATAAAGCTCATGGAGCAGGGACAAAGTGACTTAGTATCGACCAGTAAAAAAGCGGAGCCAGGAGCTATGACTCGAGCCCTGCAACCGCATGTAGGTGAGTACATATAAGTGAGTACACAAGTACAGAAGCCAAGAACCACGAATCGACCCCTGCAACCACAAACAGGTAAGTACAAAGAGGTGAGTACATGCAAACAATATTGAATATTGCAAACAGGACTCTATTAACCAACTAAACCAGATCTGGTTTCAACTCAGGGTGTCTCTGACTTGGGGAAAATAGTCTAAACGAAGCCTCCGGGTGCCAGTGTTTTTTACAGCCATGTTGGCGACAACCTACAAGTAGCAAGAAAAATGGAAAAATCAGACTTCTGGAGGGAAAACTATGCAAAAGCGAACGAGACTTCATGATTGCTGTGCAATGGGAAAAGGGAAATGGAAAGTTGGCAAATAAATGGAGTGCCTTTCAGGTAAGTGACGGGAAATGGAGAAAGTATACATACCCAAAAGAAGAATCAATGGGCAAAATAGAACCCTTGGCATATCCAAAGATACAGAGAGCAGAGACAGGAAGTATATTTTGAAAAGAAAATCCGCAAAAGTGAAGGACGGAAAAGAAACAGGAGAGAGAGAAAAAAAGCTAGAAACGAATACACCAAGAAAAGAAGATGAGCGAATATTTGAGAATTATAGAGGCAAAAACCAATTTCAAATTTAAATTAATTCATAAGTACACAAGACGAGAGGCATAAGAAAAAGAAGAGGTGGGAAGATTGTATGAAAGATCTCATGACGAACGATAAAGAAGTTTTCGAGGAGCTGAACTAACGGTTTAAGAGTCCAGCATCACCCAGCACCCGACACGGAGCTGAACTAACGGTTTAAGAGTCCAGCATCACCCAGCACCCGACACGGAGCTGAACTAACGGTTTAAGAGTTCCAGCATCAACAGCACCGACACGGAGCTGAACTAACGGTTTAAGAGTCCAGCATCAACAGCACCCGACACGGAGCTGAACTAACGGTTTAAGAGTCCAGCATCAACCAGCACCCGACACGGAGCTGAACTAACGGTTTAAGAGTCCAGCATCAACCAGCACCCGACACGGAGTTGAACTAACGGTTTAAGAGTCCAGCATCAACCAGCACCCGACACGGAGCTGAACTAACGGTTTAAGAGTCCAGCATCAACCAGCACCCGACACGGAGCTGAACTAACGGTTTAAGAGTCCAGCATCAACCAGCACCCGACACGGAGTTGAACTATTTAAGAGTCTAGCATCAACCAGCACCCGACACGGAGTTGAAACTATTTAAGAGTCTAGCATCAACCAGCACCCGACACGGAGTTGAACTATTTAAGAGTCTAGCATCAACCAGCACCCGACACGGAGTTGAACTATTTAAGAGTCTAGCATCAACCAGCACCCGACACGGAGTTGAACTATTTAAGAGTCTAGCATCAACCAGCACCCGACACGATACACACAACCAAAGAACAAGCCAAGAATATTATATAATTCACGTTAAGCATTAAACCCAAGTGGGGTCATTCAGCACAAGACGTGGTGGAGGCTTGATCCTCCGTCTGCTGAGTGCGAGACAAACGCGCTTCCTATCCGTACTCACGGTTCTTCTAAGACGGCAGACTAGTCCTCCACAAACTTTCAATAATAATGATGTACGATGTGAGTCGCGTACTGTAAGCTTGGACAGGTTGCAGAGTACTGGCATACACAACAGAAAGCAAGATATGAGAATCAACCCCTGCGACTACAGCTTGGTGAGTACACACACAACATACTGATTGGTGATCCGATTATGACAGCCATCACCAAGCACTTCATGTCTTCACCGACAATTTTTAAATTTAAAAAAAAAAATACCAGCCTTGAGGCCAGAATTCTTGTGGTGGGAAAGTGTGGCTTTCGAGATTTATTTTGATTGAGTGAAGTGGTAGTTCAATTATCAGCAGAAATCGTCCTAGATGTAGATAAAGTGTTCAGAGAACCGACAGGATGATGAATTAGACACCTCTGCAACACAAAGTGGCTTCCTCAGTCCGATACAGATAGGAATTATTGAAGATCAGAAGGAGTTTGAGATAATCAGTTCCTCAGCCTGGAGTCGATGTGATCAGTCCATCAGTCCTAGATGATTTGATCACCCGGGTAATTCATTGACTGAAGCCCCTGGGGTTTCAGTCAATGAATTACCCGGGTGATCAGAATAAATGTCGAAGTCAACCTGAAAACAACTGTGGTACCTGTTTTTACAAGAACAAATTTCTAAGTAGCCTGCGACCAGTTAATGAGTACGGAAGACGGATTGAGGTAAACCAGGTCTGCGAATCACGGACAACAATAGCCTGGTTGATCAGGCAGTCAACAGGAAAGCCTGGCCTCAAGTCGAGCTACATGAACAGAATAAGCTCTCGAAATCGGCCGCAGGTGTAACACGGGACGCCGCCCACGTATGTAAATTAGAGATGGTGATGATGCCAGGTTGTGACGACCCAGTGTTTGATGGGCGGTACAGCCGGTACTGCGTGACCCTCGGGACCAGGACACACTACGCCGGGTAGGACACACTACACAGGGCAGGACACACTACACCGGGCAGGACAAACAACACAGGGCAGGACACACTACACAGGGCAGGACACACTACACCGGGCAGGACACACTACACAGGGCAGGACACACTACACAGGGCAGGACACACTACACCGGGCAGGACACACTACATCGGGCAGGACAAGCAACACAGGGCAGGACACACTACACAGGGC